TCCAGTCCCAATACACCTGCATTCCCCATACAGATGGCCGAAAGGCCCTCCACTTCTTCCTGTCCCGCAGGCCCGACCAGTCCCCCACCACTGACACCCTCATCCGCTTAGCTGAACTCGTCCTCACCCTCAACAACTTCTCTTTCAATTCCTCCCACTTCCTACAGACAAAGGGGGTGGCCATGGGTACCCGCATGGGCCCAAGCTATGCCTGCCTCTTTGTAGGTTACGTGGAACAATCCCTCTTCCGTAGCTACACTGGCCCTAAACCCCACCTCTTCCTCCATTACATTGATGACTGTATCGGCGTCGCCTCGTGCTCCCACGAGGAGCTCGAACAGTTCATACACTTCACTAACACCTTCCACCCCAACCTTAAGTTCACCTGGACCATCTCTGATACCTCCCTCTCCTTCCTGGACCTCTCTGTTTCCATCTCTGGCAACCACCTGGAAACTGATATCCATTTCGAGCCGACCGACTCCCACAGCTACCTGGAATACACCTCCTCCCACCCACCTTCCTGCAAAAATGCCATCCCCTATTCCCAATTCCTTCATCTCCACCACATCTGCTCCCAGGATGAGGCATTCCACTCCCGAACATCTCATATGTCCTCGTTTTTCAAGGACCGCAACATCCCCCCCCCGTCAGTGGTCGAGAATGCCCTCGACCGTGTCTCCCGCATTTCCCGCAACTCATCCCTCACACCCCCTCCCCGTAATAACAACCAAAACAGAATCCCCCTCTTCCTCATGTACCACCCCACCAACCTCCAGATCCAACGCATCATCCTCCGACACTTCCGCCATCTGCAATCCGACCCCACCACCAAAGACATTTTTCTCTCCCCTCCCTTATCTGCTTTCCGGAGGGACCACTCTCTCCGGGACTCCCTTGTCCGCTCCACACTCCCCACCGGCCCCACCACACCCGGCACTTTTCCCTGCAACCGCAGGAAGTGCGACACCTGCCCCGACACCTCCCCCCTCACCCCCATCCCAGGCCCCACTTTCCACATCAAGCAGATGTTGACCTGCACATCTGCTAATGTGGTAAACTGTATCCGCTGTTCCCGTTGTGGCCTCCTCTACATTGGGGAAACCAAGCGGAGGCTTGGGGACCGCTTTGCGGAACACCTACGCTCGGTTCGCATTAAACAACTGCACCTCCCAGTCGCAAACCATTTCAACTCCCCCTCCCATTCCTCAGACGACATGTCCATCCTGGGTCTCCTGCAGTGCCACAACGATGCCACCCGAAGCTTGCAGGAACAGCACCTCCTATTCCGCTTGGGAACCCTGCAGCCCAATGGTATCAATGTGGACTTCACAAGCTTCAAAATCTCCCCTCCCCCCACCACATCCCAAAACCAGCCCAGCTTGTCCCCGCCTCCCTAATCTGTCCTTCCTCCCACCTCATGTCCCACCGCCATCTCCTACCTACTAACCTCATCCCGCCCCCTTGACCTGTTTGTCCTTCCTGGGCTGACCTATCCCCTCCTTAACTCCCCACCTACACTCATCTTTACTGACTTGAACCCCGTATCTTTGACCTGTCTGTCTCCTCTCCACCTATCTTCTCCTCTATCCATCTTCTAGCCACCTCCCCCTCTCTCCCTATTTATTTCAGAACCCCCTTCCCCTTCCCCGTTTCTGAACAAGGGTCTAGGCCCGAAACGTCAGCCTTCCTGCTCCTCTGATGCTGCTTGGCCTGCTGTGTTCATCCAGCTCTACACCTTGTTATCTCAGATTCTCCAGCATCTGCAGTTCCTACTATCTCTGAAACAATATTTACATATTTTTGTGTTTTAATATAAATTTTATTTATAAAATTATAATATATACATTTTATGTTTATATTTGTGAGTTTAAAGTAAGAGATTTATTTACTCTGTCATTATATGGTGGCACATGTGGTTGCATATGACACCATAGGGAAGATGTCCTCTTAATCAAAGTGACAGGGCAACTAGGGAGAGAAAGGCCTATGATTACTCAGCTGTACTTGAAATTTATACCTATCCTTTTTGATATTATTTATAAAAGAAGCAATTGTACTGGAGTTGGTTATCTAGTTGTGATATACCAAACCCAAATTTAGACATCTCAATGTACAGTGGAATACAAATTTGAGTGAATTAACTTTCACTGTCCACATCTCCTCCTCCAAAAGCAGATAAAAGAATGAAATGAATTAGGTATTCAGTTAATACAGTTAGAATTTAAAGAGGGTGGCAGGGGTCTCAGCTGGTTGGAAAATGAGTGGGAACCCTGTGTCACTCCTCTCCAGGAGGCATAACTTTATTGCTGCCCAGTTAAGTGCTTGACTGGACTGTAATGAGCCACTGTCTAATTAAGCCCCAAGTCATGTTTTGCGCACCCTCCCTGGAGCTGCCAGGTAATCTGAGGTTGCTATCTTTCCATTACCAGCAATGCCATCAGGAATGGTGCTCACCCTCAGTATAGCTGACCCATCGAGGGTGGGTAGTGGACCACAAGATGGAAGTGAGAGATTGGTCTCATGGGGAGGGGGTGATTGACTGGAAGTAGGGGACGGGGGAGACTACATGATAACCATCTGCAGGCCAAACTCGCCCACCACCATCTCCTGCCACCTTTGGTTTTTCAGATGTCAAGTCCTTTAATCTGGCACAGTACCCATGACTGAGGGGTGTCCCCCACCTTGCCCTGGTAAACGCAATGAGTTTAGTTGAACAACTTACCTGGATGGTGAGGCACATACCCATTGCTGGTTAGATAATAGTGGTGGCAGGCCCTTGACACTTAAGGGTCTCAACTGGCTTCTGGGAAGGAAGGCTGCCTGCAACACTGTCCTCACCGCAGTTGATCAGGAAGGGGAAATGGTTGTGATGGGATAATTTCTCAGTTATTTGATTAAGATGCATCAACAGGTCATCATATCTGCAATTTTTAGTTAAAATGTTGTAAAAAGAACCCAGAGAATGAAGGACTTACGACTGTTCTCATATCTTCTGATTTCCATGTTCAGGTTTCCGCTCTGGTTTGCGCCCTCCATGGCTTCCATCCAAGCCCGGTGGCTCATGTCAGCTACATCATTACCATTGATAGAAATGATTTCATCACCCACTTGCAATTGGCAAAATTCTGCTGGTCCCCCTGTCAATGCAAAGACAAATATAAGCCTTTCTTGACCAATGCAGTTTTTAAAAGAAAAATAAAGTCTATTTCTGTCACAATGCTTGGAAAGATATTTTTCTTTTTGTTGGCTTACCAAAAAGAATCACAAAATAAAAACAACCACATGTGATCTCTGGATGAAAATCTAATTATTTGGAGCAGTTTGTATATCCACTTAATCTCAATTTCCTTAATTGCCCCATTCAAATTTCATGAATAATAATTCACAATTAATTCATTTTCCACAATTTAATGAATTTACCCACCATTTGATATTAAACTTTGACAACGACTATCAATGATTAACCAACACAAATGAATCTCTTTAGGATAAACAATAGCAGATGATCAGGAGGTAGCCAAAAGTAACTGTGTAAGGGTGAAGGATAAGACCGTAAGATGTAGGAGCAGATTCTTTAGCCCATTGAATCTGCTCTGCTATACAATTAAGACTGTGGCTGATCTAATCATCATCAACTTCACTTTGCTGCCTTTTTACAATTCTCAATTCCTTTACTGATTAGAAATCTGTCTCAGTCTCGAATATATTTAGGAACCTAGTCTTGACGGCCTTCTGCAGTAAAGAATTCGACAGATTCACTAGCTGTTGAGACACAAAATTCCTCCTCATCTCTCTTAAATACACAGCTTACGCTCTCTGGTCCTACAAGGGTAGACAATCTTTCCACACGCATCCTGACAAGTCTCCTAAGAAACATGCATTTTTAATAAGGCTGCCTCTCATTCTTCTAAATTCCAAGAACATGCCCAACCTACACAATTTCTTTTCATAAAGACAGTCCCTCCATACCGGGTATCAGCCAAGTGAATGTTCTCTGCAGTGCCTCCAATGCCACTCAAGGCCACTTTCTTTTGACTTTGTTCACACTATTCCAGCTTTGATCTAACTAGTGTGATGTGTAGTTTAAGCAAAACCTCTCTACTTTGATACAGTACTTCATTCCCTTTGAAATAAAAGCCAACATTCCATTTGCCTTCCCTATAACCCACTGAACTTAAATGTTAGTTTTTTGATATATGCATGAGGACTTCCAAATCCCTCTGCTCTGTAGGTTTCTGTAGTCTTTCTCTATTTAATATTCAGCTCCTCTATTCATCCTGCAGAACCTTATATTTTTCTTCCACATTATATACACCATCTGCCAAAATTTTTGGCCACTCACCTTAGCTGCCTATATCCCTGTGCAGATTCTGTGCCATTCTCACCACTTGCTTTTCCACCTATTTTTGTGTCATCCACAAACCTGGCTACAGTAAGTTCACTTTCCTCACCAAAGTCTATACATAATGTGAATTGTGGCTGCAGCATTGATCTCTCTGGCACCCAACTATTAACAGATCACCATACTAAAAACATCCCTGTTACCCCAATTCTGTTTGTTAGCTGATCCTCCATCCATTCATCACCCTGGATTCTTAACTTGTTAAGTAGCTTAATGTGTGGCACATTCTCAAATGCCTCCAAGTCCAAATATATTACATCCAATGTATCTCCTTTATTTATCCTGTTTGTTACCTCCCCAAAGAATTCTAGTCAGGCATGATTTCCCCTTCACAAAATGAAGCTCTTTTTTGTTGAAATAAAAAGCTCTTGCTATACACATCTTGATATTGCTTATAAGTTAACACCCAAAAGGTTATTTTCTCCTTTTTCAGTCATCTTTTATTGATTTTTAAGAAAACTTTCCCAACTCTCTAAGCTTACCACCAACCTTTGCCACATTGTATGTTTTTTTTTCTTTCAATTTGAGCAAACTATTACTTCCCCAGCTTAACCAAGGTTAGCTTACCCCCTTCCTAAAATTCGTCTTCTTCACTGGAATTTCACTTAGCTGTGAGCCATGAACTATTTTCTTAAAGATCTGCCATTGTCCCTCAACCATCTTTACTGCTGAACTCTAGCTAGTTTTGCCCTCATTCCTTTTTAATTACCCTAATTTAAATTTAGCACAGTAGTTTCTAATCAAAGTTCCTTCCTGTCAAATTGAATGCTAAATTCTACCATGTTAGGGTCACTGTTTCCTCGGGGCTCTTTTATTCTGACATCATTTATTAAGCCTACCTTATTACATATCACCAGGTTCAAAATAGCAAGATCCCTGGTTAGACTGACATTTTGTTCTAAGAAACAGTGTCTAATGCATTATGAATTCTTCCTCATAATTGCCTCTGCCAATCTGACTATCCCAATCTACATGAAGGCCAAAGTCAGCCATGATTAAGGTACTGCCTTCATTATTGCCTAATTTATTCTCTGTCCAACCATACATCTCCTGTTTGGAGGCCTACAGATTTCTCCTACCAGTGTCATCTTTCCCTTTTTATTTTTTACCACTGCCCTTTTGGAGTCTATGTCTTCTGATCCAAGATCACTTCTTGCTACCATAATTATTCCACCTCCTAGTAACAATGCTAATCAACCACAATTTGCTTCCTGCCTCTCCTTTCAGTCATATATCCCTGAATATTTAGTTCCCAGTTTTGATCTCTTTGTAACCATGTCTCCATAAATGCCACAAGATCACAGCAGTTAACCTATACTTGTGCCATTTATCCACATGATGTACTAACTACAAAAAAACCCACTCCCTCTGTTGTAATGTGTACTTTAGCATTAAGAGAATTCATCTTTAAGAACTCAATGCATATATGTAGACAATGTTGCAACTTTGCCTTGGGTTTGTAAATTACACACGACAGCTGCCTTGTTGCATTGTCTACTTCATAACTATTTTTAAGTAAACTAACCCATGGAAGTTAATTAATTCCTGATTAGTAGTTAATTATTAGACTATGAACGTGACACTGCAAACAAAGGAAAAATGATAAAAGATGACTTCACAAGAGCAGCTGTAATGAGCTACAGTAAATGTGCGAGGATGGCTCAAAACACAGACCACAACATTAGATCTCCTGGTAGTAGAAAATACAAGCAGCAGTGGTCCTATTGGGACACACAAGCTTAGACCTCCAAATAGATGGCTGCTCAGAGAACCTGTACCGCCTCATGGAGAGGTATGAATGTCCCACATTTAATTTGGTCTACTGCTAAACACTTTTCCAATGCAAGACAAGCCACTGCTCCCAGCAGCTGCTGGTATTGCCAAGCCGCTATCTCTGATTGGCCAGAAGCTCCACGAGGCAGGACTTCCTCCTGGAGAGGGTTAAAAGACAAACTTCACACCAATTAAAGGGCAGTCAGCCAAACATTAAAGTGGGGTGTGGGAAGCCTGCCCTCAAATGTATAATCAAGCCCCAAGTAGAGGATAATTATTTCAGATTTTTGCGGACTGATATGATCCTGTGAACTCAATTATTCTTTAGCTGATCCAGATGGGAGGTTGCCAGAATGCATTGTACAAATCAACTAGGCTGGCCTATTTTAACCACTCACATTCTAAGGGTAGCAGCACTGCGCAAATATGTAAAGCAAAATTTGAGTTTGTTACTGTAGCTACCAAAACTAGCAGACCCTCAGAAATTAAATAGGCGAGTCTAGTTACGTTTTAAAAAAATGTACACAGAATATATTAACATTTGAAACAAAACATCCATTTTCCAATATTACCTCATTATACCTCTGCCAATGAACATTCAAAAGAAGAATGCTTCCCCAGACTGTCTCAGAGAATGGAAACATAAGTCGATAAGGGTGTGACAGTAACTTTTGCAGAACAAGTTACGTGAAAATTATACAAGTCTGCATAGAGCTGTTGAAAAGTTAGGGTTTGCAAAGAGGTCGCGAGCAAACAAGCCACATAAAAAGTTAAATCATTCAATGAGAGATAAAATATTTTATTCCATAAAAAGAAATGGAACTGTGGAACAATTCCCTTTGCATGCCAAAATACAGACGCAACTTCACTTGATTGGTTTTCTCCAATATGTTTTGGTTAAATTAGAATTCTGTAGGGGAAAATGACCTTCCGGCCAGCACAGCATAAATCATTCATGGCCATCAGCTAAAAACAGCGTGACTGTTGCTACAGTCACAGCACAAGAGACATGAAATCCAGATACTACAGATTCAAGCTCCAAGGCAATGCCAAAGTGTATATTACAATTTAAAAAAAAACCCAATTACCTCGTTCGACTGATTTGACAGTTATACCCGTAGAGTTCCAAATGGTTGTGAATCCAAAGTCACGATCACTGTTCGGCCTCTGATTAATAACTATTCGCGTGTTACTGTACTGCCCCTGAAAGGAAAGTAAAATTCATAAAACCCACAATACAAGGACAGCCATCATTAATGCCCCCTGGAAAAGCAATCCAATAAATCAATCAATCAATCAATCTAATTGATCTTTTCTGTGACACCAGCAAACAACCCTAGGCATGACTGGAATGTCCGGGAACACTCTCTAAATGAGCCAGGATGAACGGTTCGAAGGCTACAAAAAAAAACTATTCCCAAATGACAAAACCTAGTTTCTGGCTGCTATTTTCCCAGTTACAGACACCCAGTGGAGGGAAAAGGCTCAGTCAGGCAGTTATGAAGAATAGGTTTTGTTGTGCATTTTAGTATTTTCTTTATACATTGATAGATCATTTGGGGGTTAATTAATTGCAGAGTAATTAGTCTGAAAGGATTTTTTTTTAAAAAACGGTGTACGAGCAGTCAGGAGAGACTATCATATTACCAGACAGATTTCAAATGCGCAGAGTAACCTACTTATCAGACTTACCTGTTCCGTGGCTGCTGTGGTAACCGGGGCTGTAGGCAAGCTGCTTGTTTTTGTAAAAGAATTCATTGTTCCTGGGCCAGTAGTGGTGTCAGGCTTTGACTCTTGGAGAAAGTTATTCTTACTAAGAGATGGAGCCCTTTCTTGTTCTTCCTCCTCCTCTTCCTCATTACTACTCATTACAGCACTGGCCTGTGATTGGTCATCATCATCTTGCTTTGATAAAAGGTTGCTTCTCGCATACACATCATTTTCTGATTTTGAAGAAAGATTGACCGGCACTGATCTCTTTTCCTCCATTTTCCAGGAAGTGTTGACCCACGTAGCTCCCTCTTCTTTCTTTGGCAAGACCCCACGACTGTTCTTGGATTCTTGTGCTTCTAGCTTGGAAAAGAAACTTGGTGCTCCCCGGGAGGTTTTTAGGCCATTCGCATCTCCGTTATATTTAAGCGATTCATCTTGCAACTGAAAAACAAACAAGTCAAAAGTATCGTTCATAAACATAACGGATTCAATGGAAGAGACGCAACTGCTCCTATGATGCTGCTTGGCCTGCTGTGTTCATCCAGCCCTGCACCTTGTTGTCTCGGATTCTCCAGCATCTGCAGTTCCTACTATCTCTGATTCAAGAATACATCACATGGACTCTTGACAGTAATAGATACGTTTGATTAATAGAATTCAGAAAGGGAGTTGAAAGACCAGTGAAGTCTATAATAATCCAGGAAGTAAATGGCACTACTCAGATAACAAGTACAAAGGAGCTATAGACAGTATTCCCTTCTATGAACTATTACTGAGGTGCATGTCTGTGTCATTAATCGAGCTTCATTTATTCAACAAAGTAATGGTCACACATTATCAAGGTGGTGCATTTTCAAAAGCTATTCAACAACAGGAAACTTCATAAACAAGCCTAACACCCCTGTCACCAAACATCAACAGAAACATCTTTTGACAAAGTCACACAATGATGACTTCGACGTCCACTCATGTGCTAAATGCAGAACCAATCCTAACTTTATTCCAAAATCCTAGTTATTACTCACACCATGATACAACAATACATCTACAGTAAAAGGTCCAGGACCAAAAACAGTGATTGCATTTGATGGCAAGGCAAACACTGACGTTTATTGAGACATCTAAAGCTTATCTAAAGATGTGACTTGCACAGATTTTTTTTTTAAACCTACTCTTTGGGATCTTTGAGATATGAAGAATCATTGCATTAAAGCAGTGCACTTTGAAGACGTTATCCTTGCTACTCCTGTTTTTCCCTGCTATAAATATGGGTCAAATCACACCACTACAGCTTCAAGAAACAAATGCAACTGCTAAACTTCGGTGCCTTCAGCTTAAACTAAGCGAGAAGCAGCCTTTACCAATAAAAGACCATTGCAATCTGTTCTCAGCTTTGCCAAGATCTGCACCTGCTTAAACTTAAAACTAAAGTAAAACAAACATTCAACTCAATTTCAGCTGCATGAATGTGCATTGTGAGGCTACAGTTATCTGATAATGCAACAAGCAGAGTTAAAATCAGACAGATCAACCAACTGCTTGAGCATTTATTACAGGGAATCAAAATAGGTCATTCTGAAAAACATTAATTAACTTAGCCTGAAAAGGGAGGCGGCATATTGTGGTTCACGATTACAACACTCAGTTCTTTATTTAGCAAATAGCTTGCATTTCAGCTGGCAGCCCACAAAAGAAAATAGAAGGCCTCATCTTGTCCCCACCCTCAAAGTAAAATATTTGCACATTCACACGCCAGTATGCTTGTTACAATCGTAAACATTACGGTCATGCAGGAGTTAAAGCTGTGAACTGCCAGGACTTTTTTGTAACCAATACTCAACTATCTTAAATTGATATGTTGCATTAAAATAGAATGAGACATTAATTGAAGGCAAGTAATAGCTGATTAAAATTGAGATAGAGCAAAAGCACCTCATAAAAAGAATGGCACACTAAAGAGATGCATTGTTGATGCTATGAGGCATGAGCTTGACACTTCACTCGATTCTTTTTCTATCAGAATATATCAACACAGAAATGAGAGATTTGTTATTGATGTGTGACACAGTGCAGCACTTCACACTCAGTATAAAAATAGCATGCTGACTGCAACCTCTGGCATCCACAGATGCTAAAGCCATCACTCTCAGTATAGTACCAGAGAAGACTGGCAACAGAGAAAAGCCTGGAATTTGTGGGCACCAATTCTAAAAAATGCAATTCAAAGTTTACATGCCACCCTCTCTCTGCTTCCAAAATTAAGCTACAAATTGAAATACAAATAAAATAATAAAAAACCTTATAGGTGCCGGACATCTGAAGCAAAAAAAAGAAAATGCTGGAGTTTATGAAGGATCAGCACTCAAAATGTTAACCGGTCAGTTCTCTTTACAATGCTTCCTACTGAATTTTTAGTAGTATTTCGTTCTTGGGTTACATGCTGAAATGTCACAATGGTGTTGGTTTACATACGCTGTTACAACTTAAATAGACTTTGCGCATAATGCCAACCGTGAAAACTAAAACTGGGTGGTAGTCTATAGTTCTGCACAAAGTGTTGCAAAAATGGGTTCAAACTTCTGCCACTTTTCCTGCTTCTGAAGGTGAAAAAATCCTCAAAAGTCTGTATCGTCTTGTCTAAAAAGCAAATCCAGAAGAGTGGATTACAGCTTGTCTATATTTTTCACCAGTGTTAAAATACGTAAAGCAGAATGCACAAAGAGAAATCAATCCATAAGGCTGCAACGTTCTAGATCCAAAGAAAACTGGTTTATTATTGATAAATAACCAGGGCACTTGCAACTTGAAATCGTGAGCATATCTGATGGGGGGCGGAACAAAAAAAACTCAATCAGAAACAACCCTGAAACAGTTTACTTAAGTAAACCCATAGGATTCATCCAGAATAAAACTTACCGGATAAGATCTAGTGAGGGAGGAGAGTCTTTTAGATTGTGTGCCATAGGGTCTTGGCATGACAACAGGTCCAATTCTGGATACATCAGGTGCTTGGTAATTCCTCGGCAGGGAATTTGAAACCTTGGTTGATTCAGTTTTGCGATCCATTGCATGGCGGGTATAGAAGGGAGCAGAGCTTTGCTTTCCTGACTGATCGTTGTCTGTGCTTTTCAATTCTGATGCTGTCTTGCTCTTTGAGGCTTGAGACGGAGGTGCTGAAGAAACCACCTCACTCCTCTGGGAAGTGAAAGGGGTTTCACTCGCCACTGTAGAGCTCTTTGCGTAAAAACGTCTTGGGGGTTGTGTCTTTTCAGCAAACACTTCTTCGTCAGAAGAGTTGAGCTTTCTGTAATCAGTTTGGTCACCACCATATGATCCCTCCTGTCTGAGCTCTCTGTGAGGGAGAGGGGAATTAAAGAAAAGAACAGAAACACCTAATTAGAGTGAATGTGAAACTGAGATGATAAGTAGGTGTGGCTCTGTGAAGCTATTTTATTAGGCTGTAATTTCTATGCCGTAGTACAACTTTTACAAACTGGAAATCTAGTCAGCTTCAAGACAATTAGTGTTGTATTTCAATCCCAACCCCCAGCTGCAGGAACTTTACATTTCTTGTTTTCCTGATATATTCAGCAACAATACTAAAGAACAATTTCCCCAACTTGCTGCATACTTTGAATTTAAAAGATAAAGGGATTGCACATCTGATGTCTCTCTCAGGAAATGAACTCCACTCCTAAAAGGATGCGACTGCACATTTCTTTTGCATCTGTTAAGCTTTATGCATGAATGAGTGATGCTCAAAAAGTATTTTAAATCCAGATAAAAACACTCCAGATTTCATTTGAAAGTATGCTGTTTTGTTCACCTAACATTCCTCATGCCGTTTAATGACATGAACTAAATAATTCTGTGCACACCATCACTTTTTCTTAAAATGTGCTTGTACAAATCGGTAGAATCAAAATTTCTAATGAGCTACCAAGCTCCTGGATACAACAATGGTCTCACCTGCTTCAGGGGAAAATATTATGAAAATTGAGCTCTACTGCAGTCACTTCAGATCTTTATACAGCTTGACCAAAATCCTGGCATTGTAAATACTTAGAAAGCATCATTTTACCTGTAATTAACTAAGACATTCCAGAGTCTTCAGTCTTATACACATGTAACTGACATCAATCTCAACTAAAGTTTTATTTTGCTATGACTAATTGATACAGCATAGAATTAGCATCGAAATTTAGTGCAATCATTTGGGTACTACATATTCATACTGCTACCAAACACCCAATTACAGTGGAATGTCTACTCAAAACGTCAAAATTGGAATGAGGCTTAATTTTTGTTGGAAAGATTAAATCGATCATTAAGATTACAAAATTGTTTAAAATTTTCATGCTGATTACATACATATATACATTGTGCATTTCTCTGACATCCCATTCCATTAATGCATTAAAAAACTTGGACTTTGGCAGGTCATTGTGAGTCAATGGGCCAAATGACCTTTCTGTGCACTGTAGGGACTCCAAGATTCCATTCTATAAACTGTACCACATTCCCCCAACTTGTCCTCTTACAGCCACAAAATCTGGGTCACCATCACTGATTCCAAAGGAATACCTTTTTATCGTCACACCATCTGTGCTATTAGGAAAAATCAAGATCAATGATCTATTCTTCTGTTCCCTCAGAAACTGGCTGAAACAGTTCTAGACATCTGCAGTCAACAAATGGAAGGCAATTTCAGTATATCCCTGAATACAAAACAAATGGGGCTGTGGGCCAGCTGCAGAACCAATTAGCAAGATCCTTCACCATTACACAGGTTGACTAGAGCAAAGGAGAACATTAGAGAACTCCAGAGTTACCTTTCTTCCCTCATTTGTCTGAACGTCTTTGTGGGTCTAGCATTCTCTCCACTTGTTATTTTCTCAATTTCTTCTCTTTCATCCTTCTTCCTCTGCAAGTCTGAAGTATAACTTTTGCGTCGATTCTTCCATTTTGCCAAGTCCTAGTCACATATTGTAGAAACGAAATGAAAATAAGTTACCGGCATTTCTAGCAACAGAAGTGCAAAGTTACAAGGAAGGAAGATTTATAGCTATGTAAATGCACATGTTTCTGTTCCATTTCAAAATCTCAAACACTTTATTCATATTCTATTACAAATCTGGGCTAAGCTTTCCCTTAGCACAGCTGAAGCTGGTATTGGACTTTCAGAACACAAACTAATTGATACAAGTAGATCATAGACTCTTAATAAGGACAGTCTACGAATCTACTGATGACTAATGCTACACCAGCAATTTAAACATATGGCTAAACATTTAGATTGCGAGTACATCAAGACAAAAAAAGATTTAGAACATCGATACAAACATTCAGAACATAAAAAATAACAGGAACTTTTCAGACTGACAGGCATACAGTCAGAACCAGAATGCTGAAGTTTAAAAATAACGTTTGAAATGAAAAATGAAATCTTCAAACATTTCAGAAACTAAACTTTGACCTTTCACAGCAAAGTCTGTGTCTTGAAAGTCAACAGACTCTTTACAGAAAAGGAAACTGACAATACAGAGTAAAAGAAAATTTAACTGGAGGAATTGATTTCAGTGGAACGAGAACAGACCTGGCCAGAGTAAGGTGGAATCAGATTACTAAACAATGGTGAAAGTGCAAAAGGCTGTCTTCAAATTGTAGATGGTTCAGTAACAGCTGAAGTACATTTCTAGAGGAAGATAAAAGGCAACCAAAGCCAAAGCTCACTACCTGATTGAAAAGGTGAACACTGAGATTAGGGGCAATGGTCTAAGTAAAATCTGGGCAGAAAATAGAAAGTTTGGAGGAAACAGGAAACCAGAGAGGAGCAGAGACAGTGCATGGGAAAAGACAGGCAGCTAACATAAAAGGAAATTCAAAAGTCCTCCACAGGCATACCAATTGTAAAAAGGAAGTAAGAGAAGGCATGGAGCCAATTAGGGACCCTAAAGAAGATCTATTCAGGGAGGTGGAGAGCATGGCTGAGGTACGAAATGAATTTACCAAGGAAGAAGGTACTGCTGAAGTCATTGTAAAAGAGGAAATAGTTGAAACACTGGGAGGCCTAACAATAGATCAAATAGGGTTTAGAAAGGCTGTTTGTAATTAAAGTTGGTAAATAACTAGGATAGGATGGGCTACATGTGAGGACACTCAGAAGGGAATGTAAAATTGTGCAATCATGAGCTATAATCATCCAAACTGTCTTAGATTCAGTGGTTATACCAAAGGTCTGGTGAACTGCAAGTTCTACATTCTTGGTCAAAAATTGGTGCAAGGAGACCCAGCGACTACAAGCCAGTCAGTTAGCTTGATTTTGGCAGTATAAAAACTTTTAGAAACAATAATCTCAGATAAGTAGACAAGTTTAGATTAATTTTAAAAAGCCAGGGTCATTTGTAGAAAAGAAAAAGTGTTTAACTAACCTGTTTGAGTTTTTTGATGGGGAAACCAAGTTACAAACATACATAATAGGAACAGCAGTAGACCATTCGGCCCCTCAAGACTGCTCCACCATTCGGCCCCTCAAGACT